GAACAGCAGGGGTTTACTTAGGACAACGCAGACTCCCAGGGTCTCAGGAATGAAGAGGATTCACCTATTCACTCATTCACTTGTTCATTCACTTACAAATATGTATAGGCTTCTACTAGAGCCCAAGCTCTACTGGTATGTCAGACAAATAATGGCCCCTCTTTTTAGAGAGCTCACTTCAGGAATTGTGCAGAACTTGGGTTCATGCCTTTTACAAAGTCCTCCAAAATGCCTGTCATTCAGATCATATTCCAGAGTGCAGAGGATTAAACACAACAAAGCACCATTTACTTAAAGTCGCACCATGAGCCAGAAGGAGGAGAGAGCCAGTGTGAACCAGCAGGCAGTGATTATTGGACATGTTTAAGGAGTGTAACCTACATATTTTTGAGGAGTGTTCATGAATTTGAGGTTGCCATTTTGATATTTCACAGTATAATACCTTCTGGGATAGAACATATTTGTTTATAAATGACATCATTCCTGTCTAAAAATGGGATCACACGTATTACTCACATTGTTTCTTTTTTTCAAATAGGTTAAACATTTTCTATGTATATTTTGCTTAAAGATTTTATTTACTTATTAACTTAGTTATTTGAGTAACCTACAAAATGACAGAACAAACCTCAACCCACTGGAAATAAAACTATTAAAATGTTTAAAGACTGAAATAATAAGAATTCACTTATTTAGTTAACAGCAATTTATTAAATACGTCCTATGGTTCAACCACTGCGCTTGTTGTAAACTAATGAAGTTGAAGGTTTTCATTAAGTAACACATGGTTTATAGTGGTGTATATATATATTTTTTTTTACATTTTATTGATTTTTTTACAGAGAGGAAAGGAGAGAGATAGAGAGTCAGAAACATCGATGAGAGAGAAACATCGATCAGCTGCCTCCCGCACACCTCCCACCGGGGATGTGCCCACAACCCAGGCACATGCCCCTGACCGGAATCGAACCCGGGACCCTTCAGTCCGCAGGCCGACGCTCTATCCACTGAGCCAAACCGGTTCCGGCGTGGTGTATATTATTATGTGTGCGTGCATTTGTGTGTTTTTCATTCAGTTGGATTTGAATATAGGTCATAATATGAAATTAAAATATTAAGGTAAAAATCAGAATAAAAAAATCTATGATAGGATATGTAGATGTGGATAAAGTAGAAAGAAGCATCAACCTTGTTTAAACTGTTGAAAGGATAGGGTCATGAGCAGTTGATTTTTCTTTTATTTTCAATTCATCTACTGGAGGTCTTACAGAGTTGTTTGTGCAATAAAAAAGGCTAAGTAGAAATAGATCCCAGTTGACCTGTTTGTTTTGAGTGGATTTGAGCAGAGGTTTGAAAGAAGAACCGCTGGAAAGTCTGTGTAATACAGACACTTATAAATCTTATAGGGGTATTTCCTAGCATCTCCCATCATTTCTAAAATGTCAAATTCCAAAACAGAGGGTTTTAGGTGAGGGCCATTTAGAGAAGGTGAGATTTTAGTCTACATGTTTTTAGTACCCATAAAAGCTGCCACGGAAGCCAGGAGTTTCATTTACTCGCTCTTAAGTAGTCATGTGTTTGAGAGATATTTGCATTATTCTACCTCTGCCCTCCCTTATTTAATAGCACCTGGATGCAGAATTATCTTATACAGTCTCATGACTTGGAGCATAAATAACTGTCAGAGATATTTTAAATAAATGATAAATAAAAATCAACTTGATTTGGGGATATTCTTTAGGCCCAGTTTTTTATTTTATTATTATTTTTTATTTTTTGTTAATCTTCACCTGAGGCTCTTTTTTCCATTGATTTTTAGAGAGAGTGGAAGAGAGAGGGAAAGACAGAGAGAAACATCAATGTGAGAGAAACACATCAATTGGTTGCCTCCTGTACGAGCCCCAACCAGAGTCCATGCCTGGGAAGAGGACCCTGCAACCAAGGTATGTGCCCTTGACCCGTATCCAACTGGGACCCTTTGGTCCGCAGGCTAACACTCTGTCCACTGAACCAAACCAGCTAGGGCCCAGTTTCTTATTTTGCTAAAGTGGTCTGCCAGGAGAAGCAGTGGTGGGGTCTGCACTCGTGGGAAGAGAGGAAAACATATTCTGCTTAACAGGGAAATAGGATATCAGAGGAGAGGGGGAAATCACCTTGCTGAGACAATAGATGCCCTATAAAATTGAGCCGCTTCATATTTTTATGGAAATTACTTTGGGCAGTAGTGCAGAAATCTTGCTATATATTATTGTTAATTGTGGTTGGAGACACAAAGCAATGTGATCATTTGATGACTTTTTTATTGATTGGAAAACACTTGTTTGTGCTAGCAAATATGAAATCACCTGGAAATATTCTCGTGAATTTAGGTGTCATATGAACATCCCTGTTTAATGCATGCAAGAGATTTTAATGAAGCCATGTATGTGAGTTGGTACTTAGCAGTTAGTTATGGCTCCATGCCAGCCATCCAATGCGGGAACCCTGTCTGCCTGGTAAACCCGAGACAAGAAAATGATAACTTTGCCAGAACTTATGGTGGGGAAGAGTGGCTTGACCGCAACATGGATTGAGAGGTATTTAGTCTCCAATTTTGTGTGTGCTTTCCATCTTGTCCGTACGCACTGGCAGCAACAGTGTTACACTGCCTGCCCCACATCCCTCTTCTCCTTTTCCAGAAGGGAGGTTGAGTGTAGTTCCATGCACCAAAAGGTTGCCAGTTCAATTCCTGGTCAGGGCTCATGCACAGGTTGTGGGCTCGATCCCCAACAGGGAGCATGCAGAAGGTGGCCAGTCCCTGTTTTGAGATGTTTTGCTCTCGCTCTCTGAAAATCAATTTTAAAAATTAAAAAAGAAAGAGGAAAAAAAAGGGAGGTTGAAAGAACAGCAAGGAGCTTTCTGTTCTCCCCACCTGACATAAACACAGTGCAGGCTGAGTGTGTCTGGTGTGCAATCCTCATGTGACATTTGCAGTGACATTGTAGGACACCACTTTTGAAGATGATACTAACTATCCCCCCAATTTTTTTTCTTTTAAATATGTTTTTATTGATTTCAGAAAGGAAGGGAGAGGAAGAGAGAGATAGAAACATCAAAGATAAGAGAGAATCATTGATCCCCTGCATGACCACCCCATCCCCCACTGGGGATCAAGCCCACAACCTGGGCATGTGCCCCTGACTGGCATCGAACCACGACCCTTCAGTCCACAGGCCAGTGGTCTATCCACTGATCCAAACCAGCTAGGGCACTATCCCAAGGTTTTAATATGACTGCTTCCAAATGCTTGAGAAATCTCAGTGTGTTTGCCTGGCACTCTACTCTTCTATGACATGGCTCCGTTTTATTTTTCCTTTCTCTCTTGCTCTTCCTATCCTAGAACGGCTGCCTCCTCAGCTGGTAATCTTTAAAAACCCCGGGATACAGTGATTTCTCTTCATATAGCCACACATTAAGCACATCTTTCATGCTTCTCCGAACCAAACTCAGAGAGTGTCAATTAATACGTTGATGGGGAGGAAGTCAGCGGGCAGCATTACGGCCACCTGTCAGGAGGCATTAGATGTGCACTTTGACTGAATGAAAGGAACCTGCAGAGAGTGGGGAATGAGGTACTTCATCACGCATTCCTAGAGGTATAGCATGAGAGAATAAAAAAAATCAGTGTTCGGGCAGCTTCTCCATCGTGTTCCTTTTGTGGATTGTTCATTACTGCTCTGACCAAGATGAACCACCCGAGCGAGAGGCTGCAAAGCAGCTGACACTATTAAGTTTCCAACAGTCAGAGCAGAGTCTCTTGTAGACAGGAAGATGACTGATGGGGAGATCCAGCTACTCTTCTCAGGGACCTCCATTCATATGTGCTCACACTGTGCCTGGCATGTTTCTAGGTCCATGTGACTACTCTGTAAACTCTTCCCATTCATTCATTCATTTGACACATATTTACCGAGTATCCTATATAATAAAAGGCTAATATGCAAATTGACTGAATGGCAGAACAGCTGGTTGCTATGATGCACACAGACCACCAGGGGGCAGATGCTCATCACAGGAGCTGCCCCCTGGTGGTCAGTGCGCTCCCACAGGGAGAGCGCCGCTCAGCCAGAATCTGGGCTCATGGCTGGAGAGCGCATCGGCAGTGGTGGGAGCCTCTCCTGCTTCTGAGGCAGTGCTAAGGACCCTTTGGGGGAATGTCTGCCAAGGGGTCCCAGACTGCAAGAAGGGTCCCCCTACCCAGTGCATGAATGTCGTGCACCAAGCCTCTAGTATAATATAATCTAGGTCTTACTGTAGCTGCTGGGAACACACTTATGGGGGAGAAAAATACAGAAATATCAACTACTTCTCATGAAATTGAAGTTCTAGTAGAGGGTATGTGGACAGTAATCAAAATAAATTAAGTAAATTATATAATAGGATAAAGTGGCCTTTGTACAATTCACAGAGAAGGTTGTAGAAAACCCAACCTTTGACACAAGACTAACAAAAAAAATCAGGCTAAACGTAAGATGACATAGGATATTGTTGACATGAACAAGAGGCCTGTGCAAGCAAGAAAATCCCGTGAACTCCATCTCTTTCCATGTCTTTCCGCCTCTCCAACAACAGGTGTTACAAGTGTTGCTCTTTAATCATCCCCCCCGCCCCAAATTAAAGTAAACAAGGTGAAGTAGGCCAGGGGAAAAGTGGGAAATAGTTCAGATGAAGGAAATAACTTTGGGGAAAAGAGAACATTCAGGAGCCATATCAAAGCGAAGAAAACGCAGTCGTCTGTTTCCTCTTTCTTCCTTCCAACTTGTGCCGCCTCCTTCATTCCGTAGTGAATCTCATTTGATGTCATTGGGTCAAGTCAGGAGAGCCACCCTGACAGAGTCGCCAGGTGTTCCTTGCCTGCCCCTTTTCTCTTCCTTGTCAAAATTTTAGCTCATTGTTAAGTTTTGGAAATTCGTAAATTTAACATACTGTTATTATCTTTCCCCAACAATTCTTTGCTGCAGATTATGTTACTCACGGACCCGGAGATTGAGAGCAGTTTACTGATCAGCTCAGATGAAGGAGCGACCTATCAAAAGTATCGGCTGAGCTTCTACATCCAGAGCTTGCTGTTCCACCCCAAGCAGGAGGACTGGATTCTGGCGTACAGCCAAGACCAGAAGGTGAGCACGGAACCTTGTTTGAGACAACAGTGCATGGTTCTCCTGGGAGAAGCCCCTAGTGGATCATCTCCACACTTCTTCCCCATGACCAGTTTTGTTCTGTGCAGTTGCCTGAACCGGGTGCCTGGGGGACGAGAGGCAGCAAAGCGGGTCTCAGGTCACTGGCTTGAGCTTGGAAACATCTGACCCAGCCCACAAGGGAAGAGCTAGACACCAAGGAACTCAATGTGGAGAAGCAGTTTTTGTTTGTTAATTTGTTGGTTTGTTTGTTTTAAATATTTTTTTATTGATTTCAGAGAGGAAGGGAGAGGAAGAGAGAGAGAAAGAGAAACATCAATGATGAGTGAGTCATTGATTGGCTCCCTCCTGCATACCTTCTACTGGGGAATGAGCTCGAAACCTGGGCATGTGCCTTTGTCCAGAATTGAACCCGGAACCCTTCAGTCCACAGGCCGACACTATCCACTGGGCCAAACCAGCTAGGGCAAGAAGCAGTTTTTAATGTAGATGTTTCAGGCCATTAGGAGCCCCAGACCGTCATGGAATTTGAGAATGAATTATGTGTGTATCAAGAGGTGATCATTTTTCTAGATAAAGACCCAGGATAGGTTTTTTAAGACCCTTAAAAGGAAGGATGACCCCTCTACCCACCACCCCCCACCAAAGGCTAAGAACACTAAGAACTTTCTAAAATGGTGAGAGGAATAATAATAATATCCATAGAGAACATCATTCAGAAACAGGTTATCTCAATACTTTTCTTCTCTTGGTTGGATTGAAGGAGAGTTCCACTTTTTAAAGAAAGCATTGAATGAGGTTTTGCTATTTGACTCTCTCTCTCTCTCTCTCTCTCTCTCTCTCTCTCTCTCTCTCTGATGTATTCCATACTACAAAATATATCATGTACCCTATACTACAGATACACTATAAAATACATATAGCCCCTGCTTTTCAGGACCTTACACTCCCGGTAGAATATAAAGTTACCAATGTAAAATGCTATTAAAATAAAATGAAAAAGAAACAACATACCAGTATACATTGGTAAATGGGAGAGAGACTCTAGCCATAGAAGCCAAAAAGGAACATAGGGAGATATTGGAATATTGTCTGTGAAATGCATGGCTCAGTGAAGTCATTCTTAGAATTCTCCTTAGAGGGCTCATGTGTTAGAAATTATACATATCGGGCTTCTGTGAGTGAGGGGGATGCCCTTGGGTTTTATCCAGAGAGGGTGGCGATGCGTGGGGTTCTTCCTGAAGGGGCAGAAGGCTGGAAGCACCTTTCCCAGGTCTCTACTGACAGAGCATTTTGTAGGAAGCAAATTAAAATTCTCGGTATTGCAGTTTTATTCATGCTGCCCTTCCTGCCAAATGGAATGCACATTAAGTCTAAAAATAGAAAAGATTTACAATTAGGAGTCGTTTCCTCTTGAGCAGCCTGGCTGCCCTTTCAGCAGAATGTACAGTTTCGTTCCCAGAGTCAGGCCACAGTGCATCTGGTCCCGGATGGTGCAGTGGCCACAGGCGAGGCTGAGAAGCTACAGACACGGAATATTAGTCATTTAATCTGCTGCGTTATTGCATTTTATCTGACAGTTGGTTAATTTTCCGCGCGATGCTAGAGGCACAGCAAAGGCCAGATTTACCTGGCCAATGCATCCTTGCGATCCTGTGGAGGAGATGCCCCAGGATGTAACCCTTCAGGTCCCAGCACTTTAAGCAGTTCCTCCTGGATCGCGGTAGTAGAGTGGGTAGCGCTGGATGAGGTAGGACCTCCGGGCTTTGGCCCCAGCTCAGCCACTCACAGTGAGCGCTATTAGTGTTGGCTTCCTTTGCTGTAAAATGTGTTCATACGGATGATTATAATTGCAGGGGCACTTCCAAAAAGATTGGGGGAAAAACCATGAATATTAAAGTCCACATCCATTTGAGGTGTTCTGTATGCTGTAGTGTTGCTATAAAATCGTTCTAGCAAGGAGCATAATCCATCTGGGGAGAGAAGATTAAATACACATGAGTTCACCAATAGTCCAAGAGAGGCCAAAAGAGCATGCCCTCATCCACATTTAATAGGTGCCCAATCAAGATAGCTGGACGGATTATATGAAATGGGCAGCCCAAAGTGCAGGAGTGATGATCTCATGAAATTATTTTACCTAGACATTAATGAATATGTCATATTTCTTTGGGGGGGTGTGCACATTTACACAAGAGGAATGTCACGGACACTAATACAAAGTTAGAAAACCCCTGTTTACAGGATTGTGAATTTGACTATTCGGCTGAAACTGAAATTTGGTAAAGTTCATTATACACTTCCAGAACACAAGCTTGATTATTTTTTATTGTATTGGCTATTTGGTTGTTAGGCAAAGTAATTTTTGTTCTTCTCAGTAGGCATCTTTTGAAAATGTTGACCAGTGGAATAATGGGTTCAGAGCTACAGATTACAAAAGTTAATCTGGTAGAAATATCATAGTGAATTGTGGTAATACATGGTCAAAAGCCAGAAGTCCATTTAGGATGATAGCATAGCTATTATGGACTGGACCAAAAAGTATCTTGTGACCATACACCAAATAAATTCTGTCATTTAGGAGCTGGAAGAAACATTAACAATCTTTGCACTGTAGAAGCTAACCAATCTTCCCACAGAGAAAACCCACACTTTGCTTCCACATGTTAAAGTTCAGTAAATGACAGAAGGCCTTACGTAGTACTTGGTAGGAGTCTCATGTTTAAGGATGCTATCTTGAGATGGGCAGATTTCTGTTTCTCCAGGAGAGAATGAAGGTGAAATCATGCTGGAAGAAAGAGGGGTAACCTGCTGGTGCAAGGAGGGGTTGGAGAAGACCTCCACATCTCAGGGCTTGAGTCACAGGATGAGGAGTGGGGCTGTAGCCATCGGAGGAGCCATTAGCTAATGGGGTTGGCTGGAAGTCAAGTGGAGAGGGTCTATGGCCACTCAGGTGGGTCAGTGATATGGAAATAATAGCTGGCGATTACCCATGAATCAGGGAGCTTTTAACAGTAATGACTTGCGGCTCTGAGCACCAAGGAGGGCCCCATGCTGGTGTTGGCAGACCAATGACCATGTTTGCCCGGGAAAAGGAACATTTATTCTTTCACGGACTGCTCATCAGTTCTTTCTGTGACAGCTGCTGTTGCTGCTGCCACAAAACTCCCAGCTCTGAGCTGAGCCTCAGCGCCAGTTGTCTCTGCTGGATGCTGTTTACACCCACGTAAGGTGGACAGGATTTTCAGACAAAAGGTACTGTCTCTTCGAAAGTATCCTGTGTAGGTGGCAGCTCCTTCAGAACTCACCCCCGAGCGGAATCCTCCTCTCTTCTTTCCTTGTGTGCCCCTCCGAGTCCTTGCAGGCATACACTCTCACTTTTGGATACATCCCACCTCCGTTTCCCCCCTACCTTCCTGTCAATGCCTTTCTTCCCTTCCATGGATGAGACCTGCAAGGCCCTGAGGACAAGCACAGAGCATGGATCGCTGGCTCCCAGGATGGAGCCCATGTGGGCTGCGCTGTCCTGCTCCATTTGCATTTCATCTTGAAGGTCTGAACCCTGGGGGAGGCTTTTTGATGTGAGCATTTTAAGACACTCCAAGACTTTGTTGAGCAGATTGTCCGTTCTGGCCCAGGATACAGTTCTGCTGGCCATCAGTTCCATAGGAAGCCAGGGGTTTTTTTGTTTGTTTGTTTTTCTTGTGTGTGTATTTTTTTTTTTTTTAAGATTTGATCAGGGAGAAACGTGTATGATCAAATGCCCTCAGAATCCATAAAATATGGCTGTAATCTTTTCTTTTAGAGAGAGACATCTCTCTGTGGTCGTCAGGGTCTGGGAGGTGGCCAAGAAGTAAAAATTTTCTTGAATTGGCATGTGGCTCTCCGGGCCTCACTGGGATGACTGGGAGGAAAAGTTTCAGAGCCTTTTTCCATTTGAGGTTCCAAGAAAAGTAGCTGGGGTCCTGGCGGGTTGCTGAGTTGGTTAGAGCATCATCCTGATATGCCAGGATTGCAGGGTCATTCCCCAATCAGGGCATACACAAGAAGCAACCAATCAATGAATAAATAATTGGAACTACAAATCTATCTCTATCTCTATCTCTATCTCTATCTCTATCTCTATCTCTATCTCTATCTCTATCTATCTCTATCTCTATTTCTATCTCTATTTCTATCTCTCTTCCCCTCCCCCCCCTAAAATTTATAAATAAATAGATTAATTAAGTAAAATTAAAGCAGTAGCCTGACCAAATGGGAAGCCCGATTGAGGACTTAGTATTAGAAATAGGAGCTGAGTTTCTTGGCTCTGAAGGGTCTGTGTGAGGAGGAACCTTTGGAAAGCCCTGGAATCTCAAGCAAATTAACATGACAGGCATTACAGACATTTTATACCCAATGGGAAGGGGGGTAGTGATCATGGAAGGTCCTACCTCTTATACTTCTTCCAAAGAAAAAGTGAACCACTTATTATAGGAGTGCCAAAATCTGGCTTTCCTTTCCTTATTTCTGTACTTTCTTTTTAATCTTTGCATTTAAGCTGTAGAGAGACCAACCATTCTGCTCATTTATTATTATTATTATTTTGGTTTCTTTGCATTAGGAAATGAAGTGAGTGGGAGGACGGAGATAGAGTTCTTCACCTCATTGCCAGTCCCCCCCATCCCCCTGCCCCATCTTCTTGCCTCAATACAGAAAACCACCCAAGGCAGGCTTAGCAGCAGGCTGAGTCTGCCAGATTACATCTTTATTTTAATTTGGCAATAAAGTAGTGTACAAACTGTGCTATAAAACACTGCCTCCAACAGCATCTCTCAGTCTGTCTTAAACACCTCACTAAACATGATGTGTTGGGAAACATTTGAAATGAGAGAAAACAAAGAGCAGATGTGACTGAGAGAAAAAATGAATAGGAGAAAAGTCCAAGGATGTATGTATACTTCAGCTTTGCCGGCCATGCTGGCGCATGGGGATCCTGGCTG